AAAAAAAAAAATACCATCATGTACCATGAAACCGGTATAATTTTGAAAAATACCGTGATATAAATTTTTGGTCACTAGTGCATAGCCATTGTTCAGTGAAAACTAGAATGCTGTGTCTCTACATGGACCAGTCTATTATGCTGTTAATATTAATCAAATAACCATATTGAGAAGAAAAAGAGATACCCAGTCTTTTTTGCTATTTATAATTTGAATATGAATTTAATTTAAATGTGCATATAAACCCAAAAAATAAAATAGATTTATTAAAATGTATGTAAATATATTTGAATGAATATATTTTATTTTATATACACATTTTTACATTCAGTATATTTAACTTGTTTTTGTATTACTGCTTACTTTATTGATTACTAGAAAATCTTTAATCGACGTTTACTTGAAAGTAACTGTTTAAATTAAATTAAATTAAATTAAATTAAATTAAATTAAATTAAATTAAATTAAATTAAATTAAATTAAATTAAATTAAATTAAATTAAATTAAATTAAATTAAATTAAATTAAATTAAATTAAATTAAATTAAATTAAATTAAATTAAATTAAATTAGTGATGTGGCAAAAAAAAAATCTGGTATTGACAAATAAAATGTTGGTATCATGACCACAGTTCTATCCTATATCTATCTGTAAAATCCAAACTGCTTAAAAGAGCTCTGAATCAGAGGACTTTAGCACTAGCATTGAGTGGCAAGTCAGCAGAATGCTTTTTCCACCTGCCGGTTACATAACTGTGCCTTCGCTGTTTAAGCTGAATCACAGAGAAAAACAAGCTGTAAGGCCACAGGTTCAAAGGATTTGATGAGAGAAGATGCAAGGAAAAAACAGTTGATGGATGGGTGTGAGATGAGAAGGAGTGAAGGCGAGTAAAAGAGAAATATACTCACTTCATGCCGTCCTCTTTCTCATCTCCCTCTACTTTTTCCTCCTCACGGTCTCCCTCCTTTTCTTTCTCCTTGTCGTCTTTCTCTTCCTGATTGTTGCGGTTCACCTGTTGCTGTGCTTGTTGGTTATTCTGCGAATGCAGCCAATCAAAAGACAGCAAATTAAAACCATTAAAATCTAATTAAAATCATCTAAAAAATTACTTCCCCCCCCCCCCCCATCTGCTGGAATAAATGGACATCCTGAATAAATTATAAAAAAAAAATGCATACACAAGCTCAAGTTCATCTATGATGCCCCAAAAATTTTAATGGAAAAGAATTCCATTTTGAATTATGAGGCACCATAAACCATCTATTTTTGTCAGGAAAGAGAGAGTATGCTCCACTACAGCTACTACAAGAGGGAAAAATGGATGACAGAAGGATGAAGAGGGAGGGGGCAGAGACAGAATCTGAGGGGACTGAAGACAGATCAATGAAGTGAAAGAGTGCAGGAATCTCAACATCTCCATGCACCGATTCTGCCTCAGAGCTTTTCAGTTTGACAGACGGCACCTCGTATAACCTTACGCACACACATATGAGGAAAGTCTCAATACAGGACAATTCACTTGAAATTTGAACAAATAGCCTACGTTTCAGCAAAATTATTCTTCCATGCTAACCAACTGATTCCAAAATAAGACAAAAAAAATAAAGTTTTCTTCTCTGAAAACGGTAAAATTAGACATCATGTCAGCTACCCACATCCCTCATTACAGCGCTGCATGCACACACACTCAGTTATTCATGCACAGTTAAACACACATATACAGATGCACTCATCCAAACAGTAACTTGCGTTCTGTTTTTCTGTCTCCCTTTTGTTCATGCTTTCTTTCACCCATCAGGCTCATCCCACTGTATCCCTCGCTTTCTGTGTCACTGGCTGAGAGCGTTTTAATGCGAACCCATTAAGATCAGGCGATATTTAATGACCCGAGCAGAACCGCTCCAGCAGCAGAAGACCAGTAAAACAAATGTGTTTGGGCTGTGGGCTCATTATTCTATCAGCTTTTATTGAGCCTGCTATTATTGCAGGCAGCACACACACACACACAGAGCTCTCTTTCTAACAACTTCACCTCGTGCTCTCATGCTTTAAAACAAAACACAAACATTTCATACATTCACGATGCAACAGTTCCGTGACTCTCTCTCTGTGTGTGATCATCCTCACACACACATACAGAAATTAATGAGTGTGTAAGATCAGGAGAGAATCACTGCAGACTCCAACAGGGCACAGAGCTAGATAATTACTTCATAAGGTTTGAGCTCACTTTGAGGTGTGCGCCTGTGATACTCATTAGAATAATGCTGATTTATTTTTAATAACACACTCTCATTAAAAAGACAAGCCGAATTCACACCGCCACTTTAAACACTATAATCATGAGGTACGTGCTGTAAATGAGGGGACAGATCCACAAGCAAATAAACAATGTTTATATTATTTAATACAGCATAACGCCATTGTCAACATCCCTGAAGTTTTCAGATCTTATGCTGCGTTCCATTCAACTCGGAAAGTCGTAATTCCAGCTTTCTACTTGGAAAGTGCAATAGGACACCACTTGATGCAGGACTTTCAATTTCAACACTCTTGCAGAAGGTTGGAGATGACATGCAAAATGGCAGGACTTTAAGCAAATAACATATCAGTGTTTCATTTTGCAACATTATCCAATAATAAGCCTGTTTACAATGTATAAAAAATATCTTACATTATCTTCTCTGTTGATAATCACACACCTCAAAAACAAATTACAGCACTGGCGTTTTGTTTCTTTATACATTTTCCAAGTAGGAATATCTCACACCCAACTTTGAATGAAACGCAGCATTAAAATGTCAAAGGGCATGCTGGGAGATGTAGTCTCTCACTCACCTGGCTCCTGCCTCGGCGACGGTAGCTCCTGCGAACAATGTTCTTGTAGTTCTCATTCTTCTTAGTCAGGTAGTAGAACAGGACACACTCAGCCACTGTCTGTGAGCGGACACACACACACACACACACACACACACACACACACACAAAGCACTTCAAACCTTACTCGTTCTGCTCATACACTCTGATCATATTCATGCACACCGCCTGCAGTGCAAACAATGCAATGAAGAGGATGGTATTAATAAAGACGCAGGTGTACCTTTCTCTCCAGAAAGGAGGCTATCAGGGCAAAGTTTTTTGGGTGCTGGATAAACCTGCAGTGAGGGAGAGGAAAAGCTGTGATACAGAGCAAACACAACGTTCAAATGCTGTATGATCATCTTTAGGTGACTTTTGTGAAGGTGATTTCTTTGATTCCTCTGGTAAGGTTCCTCATTGGCTCATGCTTAAGAACTAGACTAGACAAGATCTCTCTCTCACTTCCTTTTGCTGCTGACCTCTGTGTCATGATCCAGAACTTTACAAAGCCTCTGCCACTCTCAAACCAAATATGACGCAGTTTGGTAGTGATGCACTGAAGTGTGTCTTTTTTAGCAAAACACCAAAACAGCTTTTATTTAGCCATAAACAAAAATAAAGTTTTGCTAATCAAATTTCAGTAATTGGGCAATTGAACTCTGTATGCAATTCAGGGTGTCGTATTTACAGGTGGTAAACCAGTCGTAGTGAGTCGTTGGCAACAAGCCACCACTGCTCGATATTTCAGCAAAACACATTTTCTCTAGCATCCTTTTTGGTTAAAGTTAAGTGCGTTCACACAGCTGACATGTTGACCTGTTTCGACTTATCCACATTATGTGCACAAAATCAATGCTGACACAATAAACAAAAATTTGCCATCAGAGAAGCGCTAATCAATCATTTCAACCCTCTAAAGTATTTGCAGGCAAAATCCAGCCATTTCAATAGGAATCTATGCAGCTGGGAATTTTATGTGACGATTTGCCATGTCGAACAATAGAAAGCTGTTTGGTTTGAAATTGACTACTGTCAACAGACAAATGTACTTTTTTTGTCGGCGAAATATTGCTAATGTAACCTTAATACATTACATTTTGTTCTTTTTGTCTTATATTTTGTACTCAGGATTATTTATTATGATCCTCAATCCAAAATGTTTGCCTAACAGCTATTGCCTAAAAGCACTTTTTAAGCTTAAAAGCCTGTGGTCATTCTAAAACTGTACTGCATGTTTATTTCAGCTGAATGATCTTTTTAGTTTGCCTGTAGAGGACTGGAGACGTCTACATCAGCTTCAGCACAGAGATGTAGATTTCAGCTGATCACGTTTCACCTAGTGCTGCAACACTAGCTAACTATCAAACATGACCACATGCACACAAACTGCTGAGCTCTCGAAAACCAGGAGAGAGTTGCTAAATCACACGCTGATACATTTTAGTACCGATTTCATAACTCCTCATTCCTTCACGCATAATCAACATGCACATCAATGCAAAGAGGACAGAACGTACTTCTCACGGAAAGTGTCCTTCTCCTGTTCACTCCACATGTTCATGACCTGTCTGTCTTTGTAGACCTTCATGGGATCGTCTATCAGCCCGTTCATGTTGATGAACTTTATCCTCTGCTGCTCTGCATCAAACAGCATGGGAGGAATCACAGCTAACTGACGCATCTGCTTCTCTGAGTTCTGCAGTGAAAGAGAGAGAGAGAGAGAGAGAGAGAGAGGAAGATGCAGTCACAAAAATGAAATGAAAATAAATATGCGACAAGAAACAGAGAAACAGTAATGTCAAAAGCAAGGCAGAGACAGTCAGCAAATATGTGGCCACTGAATCTTATGTCTGTGTTTAGGAAGTGCATCAGCCACAAAACCCTACTTGTTGTGTAAGAGACCTTTAGTTGTGAAGCCACTTTGATATTTGTGCACTTTTTCCAGACAGACACATAAACAATCCTTTTACATTCATGAGTATGCTTGTCTATTGAGTCTAGAAACATTTTTCTCCAGAATTGTTATTGCAGTTTTGGTAACGTACACAACTGTCCATGTTTGGTGAGACTTTTACTTTGTTTTTGAAAGAAGACTCTTATGCTCATCAAGGATGCATTTGTTTGATTTTTTTTTTTTTTCATAGAAGTATTTTGTAATAAAACTTTTTTGCTGTCACTTAATTTAATGCATCCATGCTAAATAAAATTATTTCTTAAAAATATCTTACTAACTCGAAATATATAAAATGTAGTGTATAATGTATTATTTGACTAATATTTTATTAGCCAAAAAAATGCTGCAAAGGCATATCTTTAACTATATGTTGTCATATAAACAAACAGTCAGTGATGATAATGATTCCACAAAACAGTTTTTGCTTCATTCACCAAATTCTCACAAAGTTCATTCAGTGAATGATTCAGATTATTTCAGATGGCTAACTTGTGAGCTGATTCATTAAAAGTTCACTGTATATGTGAGTTAATCGTTCATGAATTAGATTACTGTTTTGAATGCACAACACAATATGAAGAGATGTGTATTGACATTAATTCATGGTACAGTGTTTTTTATCTCCTCAAATTCAATCTGCAAGCTCACAACTAAGCTCACAACATGGTAAAATGTACACTTCTATGGTGCTGTAGACTTTGGACTGAAAAGCAGTGCAGGAAACAATGCATTAATGCCAGCTGCACCCTTACCTCTTGCTCTGAGATGCCATCGATGATCTCAGAAACCTCATGTTCGCTGCGGGCTGCTGAGGCCAAACCCCCACCTCGCTGAGCCACTCTACTGTAGAGAAACATAAATATAGATATAAATACACTTATGAAACCACACGACCATGCAAATGTCTCCAAAGTTCACAACAACACAGGACCACTCACTTCTGCATGCGCTCCTGCAGCTCCCTCTGTTTGCGGATCTCAGGAAACTGTTTTTCGTAATACTCCCGCACTTTGCTCTCTTTGGCTCTGCGGCGCGGGTTATTCTCGATGCGCTCAACTTTCTTCTCCCAGGCCTCCATTAGCTGGTCGTAGCGCTGGCAGAATTTCTGTTCCTGAACACACAAGTCAGAACATAAAGGGTGAATATCAAAGTATTGAAAGCATATGCTGCAGTAAAGTCACCAAGAGAGGAAACATTAGAATGAAAGTAATTACTAAAAGCTAGCAGTTCCAATCTAGTTTTTAACCACCCCATTATTCAATAACTACACTCTTTCCTAACATTAAGATCCTCACTGGGATCCTATGGAAGGCTATTCTTGTTGTCCTAGTACTGAATAAACAAATGTGCCCAATATTCAGGTACTGCGAGCTGCTACAGTGCCATCCTGCTGTGTGTTTCTATGTGTGCATTTGAGTGTTATCACTTACCCACTGTTTGCGAGCATGATTTCTTCTTTTGAAATACAGAATAAGCTTCTTCCTCATTGCCTGATTTCTGTAAAAAGGGAATACATAATCATTAGGAAACACAAAATGCTACCTCTAAACTTCAGCTGTGATGCATCTCATCAATATTTGCATATACAAGAGAGTCCAAGTGTAAGCATCAGTGAGCTTTGTGCGACAGAAAGCAAAGGCAAACATATGTTGCAAAGGTCTAGGACCCTAGATATGGCTTGGGTCCCTCCTTCAATGCAAAGTCTTTTTTTGGGGGGCTTTTTTTTTTTCCACAATGTGGAAATTGTAAGTCTGATCACTTGGAAAATGAACAGCACAAACAGCACTAGCAACATACCTAAGGAACACTAAAGCTGTAAAAAAATTAAGACAATATAGCTCAATGCAAATAATATTTTAAAATACATTAAAATGGAACATGGTTATTTGTAATTGCAATATTTTACAATATTACTGATTTAAGGTATTTTTGATCAAATAAAATTAATTAGAAACTTTAAAAACATTAAACATCTTTAAAAAAAAAACCCACTGACCTCAAACTTTTAAAGTTAAATGTTTGTTTGTTTATTTGTGTGTTTACGAGAGAGTTAGCTAGCTAGTTAGCCAGCAATGCAGGTCAAATTACACTGAACAAAATTATAAATGCAACACTTGTTTTTGCCCCCATTTTTCATGAGCTTAACTTTTTCTATGTACACAAAAGGCCTATTTCTCGCAAATATTGCACACCTGTGCAATAATCATGCTGTCTAATCAGCATCTTGATATGCCACACCTGTGAGGAGGATGGATTATCTCGGCAAAGGAGAAGTGCTTACTAGCACAGATTTAGACAGATTTGTGAACAATATTTGAGAGAAATAGGCCTTTTGTGTACATAGAAAAAGTCTTAGATCTTTGAGTTCAGCTCATGAAAAATGGGGGCAAAAACAAAAGTGTTGCGTTTATAATTTTGTTCAGTGTAGTAATCATCTTATTCTCTCACTGCATGCTGATTAATTCTCTCACACGGCAGTGGTCAGACCATTAATCTAATTAATCATTAAATGCCTACACGTCAAGGGAAATCGGCCTGGCATCATGTGTATTTGATGAGACACTGGTGCAACTTGGCAGGATCTCTTTGAGTCATTGGTTTATGTTTGTACTTGTGCGAGTGAGATTAAGTGTGTAGGTGCAGAGGTGGCACTGCATTACACAGCAGATGGCCTGCAGGATTAGCTGCTGTGCGAGACGCACTGGAACCTAGAATGCAGCTCAATGCCCATGATCAACCCACACATCAATTATTACACAAATATTTCCCACTGGTGCTGCTCAGGTTGATAAAGGACTCCTGAGAACAAAACCCTCAATTGTGTGTGATCAAAGAACAGCTGAAATACATATTCTGTCTTTCTCAAACACATTTTTGCTGTGAATGCTGTCTGTGAATTATGAGGCCAAATAACCCAAAATACCACAGAAAGATTGGAAGTAAGGGATTTGTTAACCACAATAAATAAAGGTATGCAAAAGCAGATCCACTGTCAATAAAGTACAGCTCACACCGAAGATGCTTTCAAACTAAGCAGCCTTCTGGTTGTCATCGCGGCAAATTTAACCAATTTGAACCCAGGTGACATCTGCAAACTTTTCCGTCCTTACGCAAAACTCCACATTGCTTGCAATCCTATTAGAATGATGGGATTTCAACCGAGAAATTTCGCCGAGCAACGGTAAGTGAAATTATTTTATAATTTTTATTTTAATAATTTTTGTTTCTCTGTGGAATCATAATCATAACACTTCAATAATGGTCAAAATGGTCTTCAGCTGCATTATGCACAGTGCTGAGAACCAAAATTTCACATAAAAGAAGATTAAACAAATTCTGTAAGTGTGGGACTAAATGAACAAACATTTAAGAAACTTTAATATTAGAATATTTATTGGGCTCTAATAGGGGTTGGCAATATGACCAAAATCTTATCACGATATGAGTAATTTTATTTGACAGTAACAATATCACGATATAGGCCTAGCTATTTTTGCTTTAAATAAGGTTGCCATAGAAATTTCATAATTCTTAACATCAGTGTCAGTCTCACCAAAAAACTCAAGCTCACTGAAGACAAGTAAACTGACAAGAATCTAATTACAAGACAAAATCTACAGTATAACAAATAAATAAGAAATGTTACATACATTGTACAAAGTAATCAAATGTATAAAAACACTGCATATTCTTCCCTGTGTAAATTAAATAAACATTTCTTCTTATTAAAGTTGCAAAAGTGATTTAGTCAAGAGCAGTGAGAGATTTTCTATCTTTTATTGTTTGATTAACATGAATGACAGACAGGAATATTAGACTGCTGTCACTTTAAGAGCTGCCCGGATCCAATATACTGTTACACATGTGTTTATGTGGATACTTGCAAAGACACAAAAGTGTATTTAACTGTTCAAGGCCTATAAAGTGGCAAAATAATCCATTCAATGCTCCCGTGCTCCATGAGCACCGTCTTCACGTGTGCGCACCTCTCAGACAACACAGAGAAACGGTCTCTCAGACAGGGCTCGCATATAAAGAAGGAAAAAGGAATATATAAGGAATATAGCGAAACGAGTTCCCTATCACTGCTGACTGCGTTTCAATAGTAGTACAGCAATGTCATGTAATCATTATAAACGCTGCAGTAAAGAAGGTGGCAAATAAGCATGATTGTAATTGTTTAAGCTACAGATCGCTTTCTCTCAGTGGATGGAGTAGTTTATGGTTCTGAATGAAACAACGAGAGATACAGAGAAGTATACTCACATCTTGATGTTCTCATGGTACTGCTTGGTATCAGACGGCTGGTTATATAAAGGCTGTAGGGGAGACAAACGAAAGCAGTGGAGTTCAGTTTCACACACACACACACACACACACACACACACACACACACCACGGTCACATCAATGCATCCCAGCTCTGGGAGAACTTCTCTTTTTCTACTGTCCCATTTTTCAGCCAAGCCCAGAAACACAGAGGAGAGTGTCCTCTCCAACACCACATCTAAAACCTTCTGTTATCATCAACATTACACACTTGTTTGAGCTGCCAAGCAAAGGATTTTTCCGTGGGGAAAATGGACATGTGGCAGTTTGTCTCTTCTGTGTCAAAGTGTATGATAAAAGAGGTGGCACCAGAAGGGCTGTTCTATCACCTCGATTATCAAGGCATTGGTGGTCACTTCCGGTTAGGTTTCTAATCTAATGGATGCTAAGTGGCATTGCGCCAAATGTCTCTGCACGAGGTAAACAGCCATGTTGTAAACAAATAGGCAGCAGTGCATGTAGTCACACACACAGGCTGAAGGAGTTCATATTTCACACTGTGGAGGTTATGTTACAGCTGTAGGTTTTCATACACCTCAAATAATAAAATCACATTAAAGAAACAATACATATTAAAAAAAGATGAATTAAGAAATTCATTCATTTCAGAAAAAACCTGTCAAGCACTGTGAAAAATTCTGAGTAACACTGCGAAGAACATTATGAACATGATTGTGAGATATGTTGTCACAGGATATGATGACATAAACTGAAGATCATCAACGCTGACAATCGGCTGATGCGACACCTGACCCCTTTACTTTTTGAAAACGATACTGTGCAAGTACATGAGCTGAACTGATACAAAACATATTTACTCTAGCATCATAAGCTCATAAGAGAAGATGAAAAAAAGGGGCAATATGTGAAAGGATAATACGAGGAGAAATGTGGACTCACCAGCTCTACTCGGGGACCGAGTCCCTCCAGGATGCGATGAGCCTCCTCTGCCTTTTTCTGTTAAAAAAAAAACAAAAACACAGAGCACATGTCAGCAGCACATCACCACAGCAACACACCTTACACTCTCTCTAGCGCACACACATAAACAAGCCAGTGTATAAGGGATGTACTATTAATAGATCTCTCAACAGAAGACACTCGCTGCCCTCTGCCATCTACCTCTCTCCCCTCTCTCTTTGTGAGTAAGGAGAGAGAGAGAAAGAGGGGGAGAGGGAGAAAGAAAGAAGGCTGGGGTGGTAATCCAATTAGATGCAATAAAGAAAGAAGAATCTATTACATTCTGTGCTGTCTTGCTCAAATGCAGAGAGAGCGAGAGAGAGAAAGTAACAGAAAGAGAAACAAAAACAATGGAGACCTTATGGCTGGCTATTTGTGTGTGTCTCTTCCACATAAACATACAAAATGAAAGCCCTAAAACTACATTTCCTTTCTCTCTCGCAAACAAAACTCAATGCTTTAAGAGCAGTGATGGGGTTTATTCCATTATTTTGAGATGGGATAAATAGGACACTTTCTACTAGTCATTCATCTACTAGCCATTTTCACACAATTATCCAAACAGTGTGTGTGAAATATTATTATGTCCTGACTACAAGCAGCTCACACTCTGAAATCATCTTTTTCAGTGAGCAGATCTGATCACCAGATGAAATGCTCATTTTTAACTGTCAATCTCATCCACAATAGGAAAACAATAATCAGCCTACCATCATTTTAAAGGGGACATATCATGGAAAACAGGATTTTTTTTTCTCACAATGCAAAGCCAGCTCTTTCACTATACCAAACACATTCATTATAGAAAATAAACTGAGTCACTCAAAAAGCATATTATGATGAGCACAAACAAATATGACCACCCACATTTATATAACATCTATTCAGAACACAGCAACATGAGCCACCCTGACATATGAACTACATCAGTAGATTTCACATAAGTAGGGCTGCAAATAGCAGCTGCGCTGATAAGTGATTAATCTGCTTATTATTTTGTCAATTTATTTTTCATATTTGAGGGTTGTGATTTAAATAGCAGATTTAAGTTACACAATTTAATGGGAATTTTTTAATTACTAATAAGTAATACTACTACTACTAATTAGGGCTGTCAAAATGACAGAAAAACTAAATTCGAATTTTCTACTTAAATATGATCAAAATTCGAATTATATTCGAATTTAAAAGGCATAATTTCAGTTAGGGGGAAAAACGCTTTTGGCTTCTCTCCTGAGGCCACAAGAGGGCGCATCGAGCAAAATATTATGCACGTTTCTTCAAAGCGTAATAAAATAACACGACTATCTTTGAAAAAAAGTGCATAATGTTTAAAATAATGTTTATAAACAATATATAATTAATAAAGTTGCTTAAACAATTAGAAAAAAAACAGCACAATGCATGTATGTTCTAATCATGCCACTCTCTGCGAGACGCGAGTGCAACACTGATAGATGTCCCTCTAGAAAATGTGATAAATATATGTTCTGTGTGAACGGCTTGGTTTCAGCTTTGACGTAAACAACATCTTCTCCACACTGATGCTCTCGTTTTCCGCAATATATGAATGAACAACGTAGCAGCGCCGCATCTAGTGGGTTCAACTGAATAGGCTAACAAAAGCATTCAAATGCAATCAATGACACACACGTCGTCATCGCATCTCGTGCGCCATTGATAAGGCTGCCTGACGGCTGACGCAGACCTTAAATTCGAATGCAACGTTTTTGCATTCGAATGTGTTTTTTTTTTTTTTTTATTCGACGAATATTCGAAATGCAAATTTTTTTTGACAGCCCTACTACTAATATTACTTAAAATATAAACGAAATCATTCAATCAGTTAAACAAATATATTATGTCAAAATGCATTTTTCTGTTCTAAATCAATGCTCTCCCTTAAATGTATGTTTTTCTACATTTGACTGACATATGTACACACTAGGGATGTGCATCTCATAACTGAGGCCGATGCAATACGCATCTCGATGCATAGCCAACGATACAATACATTGAAGATACATATGAAGCAGCTACCGATGCGATGCGATACAATTCACCATTACGATGCAATGCGATTCGATTTCGATTCGATTTGATTCCATTCAACACAATGCGATTCAATGCAATACGATGCAATGGAAAAAATATTGCTTTTATTTCTTTGGTTCAGACAGACAGCAAATCATAAATTAACTTATGTGTCTTGACACCTAATGCCTCGAGGCATGTTTCGACCAAATAGGCCAGGCTTCTTTCAGTTAGTCTGACTCATTGTCAAATGATGTGGTTCCATAAACAACCCTCTACGCACACCTTGGCAATATAATTTTTATTTTTACTTTATTTTTATAACAGTTTTACAAATGAGGACATCCACAAATTGAGGTTTTTGCCGATTTTGTCAGGTTTTGCTCACTTTTGGGTACAAATTTGTCCCCAAAATATGGTTAAGTACACACACACACACACACACACACACACA